GTCCCTCAGGAGGTTCACATCTATGGAGCCCACGATCAGGATCTGACACTTTTTGTGGTTGAGCCTGAGACCCGCGAGTTTTTCGAGCCGCGCGAGCAGGGCGAGGAGAGGGCCCAGGGAACGGAAGATGTCAAAGATGCCGAAACAGAAATCATCGGCATAGGCGAACGTCCTGTCGATGTGTGCGGAAGCCTTGAAACGTGCCCATCGGAGAAGAGGGTCAGCAGCAAGAACGAATAGAAGCATACTACTCGGGCATCCCTGTTTAACCCCACTCGCCATGATAAGCTCTCCATGGGTCCTCCGTCCATAGCAGATAATGGCAGTGTTAGATGTGTAAAGAAGCCTGAAATACTTGCAAACATAGGGGCACACATTCATGATGACGAGCACGCGCAGCATCCACGGGATCGCTAATGAGGGGAAGGCCGCACACAAGTCAATGAGGAACAGGCAAGCATTCTTTCTGTCAAGGACGTGTTGTTCGATACCCCACCCCTCCGCCTCCACTACGTTGGTGAGCATGTCTCTGCCAGCGACGCACTTCTGTTCGGGCGAGACCAAATCGCCAGAGTTGGCAGCAAGCGTACAAGACATGGCCCCCGCTAGGATCTTCACGTCGGTATTTGACATGCTGAGAGGGCGCGTGCAGCTGGGGTGGCGAATGACATCGTCTTGCTTGTCACGAGGGTCCGTGCCCTTCGGGAGGAAAACCATGAGGCTCCGCCTCATTTGAATAGGTAATTCTTGAACATCTTCAGTGAATAACGTAAGATAGACATCGTACAGCAGGCGGGGCGCGTCGGGGATCTTCCAGACCCCGCATGGCAACCCATCTTCACCCGGCGTACTGTGGACCCGCGACCTCACATAGTCATACCATTCACCATATGAAAGTTTCCAGGAACGAGGAAGGGGTTCTGGGAAGGGTATCGAACCTGGCAAGGGTATCGATGTCAGCCGAGATTTGATATCTAACCTCGCGCATGCGCCTGCCCTCGAAGGGGCACGTGTCTTTTTCTGGGCTTTGAAAAGCCCCCGGCGGCAACCGCGCCCACGGGCCCGGGACCTCTGCCCTTCAACTCCGCGAAGGAACAACAGAATCGAATTTGCCTGCCGCCAAAAATGTCTATCTCGACAAACCAGGGAAACCTGTTTCAACAGCGACCCGCCCTGAACTGCGCCAAAGATCCGCGGGTCGAACTCTCGTTCGCAGCGCCGCTGCGCGCGGGCAATGTCCCCAAGGACGTCAACGAGGCACTGCACCGCCACATCGCCAGAGACGCCGAAAAGTGTCCAACCTTGCGCGCGAGATCATTGCGGTTCAGTTTTTCTATATTAACCCGCCTTCATCGTCAGGCGGCAACCACCACTCGCGAAGAAATTGGCCAGCCCTCTGACTCAGCCACGGTGGCCTTGAGGGCCCCATCGATGAGATGGTCCCAGTCGCGCGTGAATACCTCTAGGAGCAGGCCCGAAAATGGCCAGAGGCGGCGGGGGGGGGGCGCTAAAGGGGGAACGGGGGGACGGACTCCAGGAGCAATGCAAGTCAGAAAGAAATGTGCGACATGCGAACAACAATGGCGAGTGTGACAAGGCGTGTGCGGGGGGGGGGGGGGGGGGGGGGGGGCAGGGCAGCGCGCGCCGCCCCCCCCCCGAGGCAACCGCGGGCCCTCGCAAGACGCCCGCTGGATGGCCACGAGGATTTTCTTCAGCGGCCCCTGAGAGGCCGGCCCCAAAGTCCCAAAGATCAGATAGATCATTCGTCAAAGTGCGCGCGATCACGCAGAGGCGCCACGCCGCCCCGAGCTGTCTTCGAGATCGCTCCGCGCTGGCCCAAATCTTGAGGGCAATCCCAAGACAGCCCAAATTCGATCCAAGGCGGCCCCAGACCGACGCCCCCTGATATTTCTCCTCCTCCTGCACCTCCCCGCCCCCCCCCTCCGCGCCATTCCTTGTAGCCGGGAGCTCTGCGCTATCGTCGGCGCGTTTCTGGATTGCGAATTCCCCCCCGGGCGCCGCTCGAGGGAGAAGAAAATCGAAACCGCTGAACTCGCGGCGCGCGTTCAGCATCATAATGCAAGCGAAATTCCCCAGCGCATTTTTGTGATCAGAATGCCCCGTTCAGTCCCGAAGTCGGAGGTCACGCTGCGAACGCCTTCGAGAAGCAACTCAATATGCACCAGCCCTGGACCGGCGATGAGCCGCAGTGACCGCCGCATCGCCGCGACTTTGTCGATGCCGCCCACGCGGCCATGCCCAAGGGTGGAGCCTGGACAAATCTACTCTCTGACTTGCACATCCATAACATAATCGAACAATAAAGCGAAAGTCTCAATTCCAATTGTGGGCGCCGAATCCACGCGCGCATGAATCGACCGCCGCTTGCTGGCATTGGAGCCAACCCTTCGAAAGAAAGGGCGCCTGATCAACATGCATGCTATATCAAGCCGCGGCCTCACTCGGGCCAGTTAACTCCGTTCTGGAATTCGGCAACCCTCATCAACAAGGGCATCGATGACAGCTTCGCTTGTCTCGGGCCACAATGCAACGATGTATGCGTTTGCGCACCTCTCATTGTCTCGCAAGTCCTTGAGCATTGACGACGCATCAAGAAATCTGCTTCTCTTCGTGGGGCCCGCTTTGTGAAGTTGATCCTGAGGCGTGCATTCAGGGACAATCGCACGGTCCAAAAAGACGCCACCTTCGCGGTGAGGCTGATTCCCCCTAACACACCGCCGAAGAATGAGGCTCGAAGACTTCGACGGGAACGGAAATGCAGCAGGGGGGTCCGAGCCGAGAGCGTCGTCCAATATGCGACATCCACGGGGCCTGCAGCGAGGAGGAGCGCAATCGAGATAGGCGTGCAGTAAAGAGCAGAAATACCACTGTTCGTTTCCCTGCGCCAGTGCTGCAGTTGCTGATTATATCTGGAAGCCCGCTGGCATGCTCGTAAGATGTCAAGCGAAGAGCTGGAGCAATCAATCGGCATGGGGTGACACCGAACATACTGAAGGCGAGCGTACTGAAGGTGCATAGCAGTCGACCCAAACCTTCGCTGCGTGGACTGCATGAGTCCAACAGCCCCCTGATACACAGCATTCCACGGCCGAAGAGTCCCATGCGTTTCAAAAGCGCCCACAAGCGCATGGCCACCCAATCAGAGCAGCGCTATGCCGCTCGCCTCGAGGATCTCCGATGTGCTCTTCGCGGCCGTTAACGTTCGGTCGGGATCTGCAACGACAGCGCAACAAAAAAGTTGCCCATCTTCCAGAACTCGGACGCACCGCCGCCTCCGAGGTCGTTTAGCGGAGCCCTCCAGCAACGAAGAAAACGATCCAGATCGGTCACTCTGGGCGGCCTCAAGAACCTCACAATCACTGGAGCTGGACATGCACGGGGCCTCCCAAAAGCGTGAGCCTTGAGCCAAAACAGAAATGGTACCGGAACGTGCGTTCGTGATTATGAAGCAGACGGTTGTCTAGGCCACTGAGTTGCAGCTGGTATTGCGACGCATGTGGGCGGGTATACCGAAGGAAATGCATCGATGCTAAGCGATGTCGCAATATGCTTGTGCACATCACACGGCTTGCACACTACATCACGATTGCATACTCGTTTGCCCCAACCGAAAAATGAGACCACTATGCGCGCGCGAGCGAGTGAGGCCGCCGAGATTGAGACAAGACGGCCCGAGATGACTTAGACGAGGTGATCCCGCCGAGCTTCTGCGTCCAGACGGTGGAATCCCCGAGGCTGGCCAACACAACTCAACGACGACCGAACATGGCTCCGCAATGGCTCAAGATGGCTTTGGCTTGTGTTACGCAGTCTCGTGTGGAGACGTTTGGATGGTGAGGAGGAGTTTGTTCTGTATGTTAAGGCATTCGCTGAGGCTCAAAGCCGCGATCCATGCGAGGGGCACATCCGACTTTGACTTCCGGTGCCACGTCGCCATTTTGAACTTTCCACAAATCCTCTTACGGGGGGCCCGCTAGGCACTCCTGGGCCCCTCTGCACCTCCTGGTCCTCCTCGTCCTCCTCCTCCTTCTCCTCCTCTTCCTCTTCCTCCTCCTCCTGTTCCTCCTTCCCCACCTCCTCCTCCTCCTCGTCCTCACCCAACCTCCTACTCCTCCTCCTGTTCCTCCTCCTCCTCCTCCTCCTCCT